GCCACCGTACATTGTTTTATTTACATTACATTTCAACAAAAATTTTCAAATTAAAAATGTAAAGTTTCTACGCGATTTTGAAATAATATCTCACCTTTCCGACCATCTCTGGATCGGCACGAATTTTTCAAGATTAAGACTGGTCAAATCGGTTTAGCCGTTTTCGAGTTTTATTCGACATTTGAAAGAGAGCTCCATTTTTATATATAAGATATAATTTTGAAAATTTAGAACAAAAAATCTGAAAAATTTTGAAATTTTTTGAACCGTATAAGTTAACTTTAAAAATTCAAAATCTTGGTTTGGAGCCCAAAAAAATTGTATCAAAATGCTCATTTTTTATCGCCAAATATTTATTTTACTTTTTCCGCTGTATCTCCAAAACCGCTAGACCTGCCTTAACAAAAATTCTACCAATTCTCCATTTCATCAAAACAAGTAAAATGATTTTTTAAATCATTCAAATCAGGTACTCCGTTGTATCAAAAACGGAATTTCTGTTTTTGGCACTTTTTGACCCGTATCTTCGAAACTGCTGGACCTGTCTTCACCCAAAACTACCAACACGTCTTCTCATCAATAGGAATCGAATGTTTATTGAATCATTTAAATCGGTTGATTCTTGAGCCCGAAATCGTGGACAAAAAATTGTATCCAAACATACACACATGCACACACACAACATGTATGGTATGTACATGCATACATCCATTTTTTCCAAGGTATGCAAAATGTTCAGAAACCTTTGAAACGTAAAGATACACAAAAATTTTCATTTTCGATTTTTTGCGATTACTATAACTTACCCTACGGGAAGTTAATAATTATTAATACTGCATATTCCAATATTCTAATTTTAAATTTTCATATTAAAAAAAAAATCTATTTGGAAGATTTTTATGATTCTCAAAAGATGCTCATATTTTGCAAAACTTTCATATATTTTCCAATCATGAAATTTCCATATTCTTTAATGCCCGTAGGGTAAGTTATAGTAATCGAAAAAAAATCCGTATAGACGAGTTTCTACTGTATTTGATTTTTTTTTTAATCGTTATTAATAAAAATTTATTCAAAAATTAAAAATTAACTTACTTCGCTTCTGAATAACTGAAAATTATAATATCAAATAATAAAAATAATATAAATCTTAAAGCATGATCCACACACAGGATATGTCTCAATAAGCAACACTCGTACACACAAAGTGTTATGTGAATGTCGTCTATAAACGACACTCGCAACGTAAGGGTTAATAATGCCATTACGCCTAGTTTTCTTTATCTCCGTACTTACTCGTGTTTAAAAAATCGCCCAAAGCATTATTATGTTGGAAGATGACAACGCCTCCTAAATCTCGTCGTCGAAAACATCTCTGCAGGTCCTATATGCTTCAAACCAGTTGACCTAAAAAAGACTACTTATCGGTAGGCAAATATAAATAAACAAACCAAAAAAAAAATTATTTACTTACTTGTATATCAGGAGCAACTAAAAACACTTTTCCATCGGCGCTAGTTACTTTAAGGAAAGATTCTGGATAAAAAATAAATCGTTATTATAACATATATTCACCACATACACACACATATCTATATAAATATATAAAATTATAATTGTAAAAATTTGTAATATTTTATAATAAATTTATTATGTTTAACCCTTTCCACTCGCGAAATGCGAGATTTATATGTATTTGCCTCCGGAGCGGCGGCCGTCGAATGGAAAGGGTTGAATTGTTTATAATTATTAATATAAGAAATACCAGTTCCATCGTAAATTAATTATAGTTTTACATATCAATAAGATCTGAAATCCTTGAAATATTTGCAAGAGCTTACATTTAAAATGTACATCACTAGATAGTGTTCCTAAATAGTTACTAAATTATATTTACTAAATTACTAATTATATTTTAATTTACATGAGTCTTTTACGAATATAAACGAATATGATTCATTAAATATTCAATCATATACAAAATTATTATCAATAATTATTCACGCAAACTATAAAGACAAAAATAGGGATATGCGATTTAACTTGTGGTGTAGCACAAGGCTCGGTTTTTGGAACCATTGTTAAACCTTGTATATACAACTGTATGCAATAGTTTATAACTTCATAAGACCCTAAAGCAAACTCGATATATTATAAATTTCTATTTATTATTTCTAGTAAAGCAACACCTTATTTTTTGAATAAATAGTTGAAATTTTTATCATCACAATTTTTGTAATGGCACTTAAATCAAACTACAATTAATTGGTCAAATTGAAATATTACTATTGGTAATAAAGAACATATTGTTAGCTCAAGCTTAACTAATCTAATATTCATAATCATCAAAATTTTGTAATAAATTAAGTCAAAATAAAATATTTTCAAAATTTATTTACACCAGTTCACCAACTTATTACCTCGTGTCAGTTTTAGACCATTCGCAAAATAATATAAAAATACAAAAATCACAACTGCAAATACTACTGGTTTCATTTTTTGTCATATATTTAGCAATAAAGAACTGCAATACTAAATTAGTACTAAAATTAATATTTAGATAAGTCTAAATTTATACGTTATATGGGATTATAGGAAACCAATAATCTTATCAGAAGGTTTCAATTTGGAATTAAAATAATAATTTATTAGCCTTAATGGAAATTTCTGTCATATTAACTTTAATGGAAATTTTTGGCACATTAACTTAATGGAAATTTTTGTATATTCTAAATTTATTACTACATATGAACATAAGACAATTCTGACCACATAGCCTATTACATATCATAGGTAACATACATACCTGTTTAGAAAACAATCTTTGAAATAATGTTATTTTTAATTTTTTTATTTATAGATGACAACTTCTCCGTGGCTTTGTGGAGAAAGCTTGGGTTTGCAACCACGGGTTCCTGGTTCTGTTCCAGTTCCAGGCAGCAGTGATATCACTTTTCATGTGAAAATATATATCTAAAGTATGAAAGTATTTCAAGTGAATATATATATATATATATATATATATATATATATATATTTATTTTATGAAGGGAACGATCAAAACTGGGATTGGAAACGAATGAAAGGATTATAATATTTTTTTCAAACATAACGTTTTTTTAATATTTAAACGAATGCCTATTTGTTTATACTTATATAAACTCTTTATTTATAATTAATTTCTCGTAGGGTAAGTTATAGTAATCGCAAAAAAAATCAAAAATGGAATTTTTTATGTATATCTGTTTCAGAGGTTTCTGAACATTTTGGCATATCTTAGAAAAAAGTGGATGTGTGTGTATGTATGTGTGCGTGTGCGTGTGTGCGTGTGCGTGTGTGCGGTGTGCGTGTGTGCGGATACAAACTTTTGTCGAGGATTTTGCGAACACGAATTAACCGATTTGAATAGTTCAAAAATCATTATATTCCTACTGATAAGGAGATGTGTTGATTAGTTTTTGGCAAATGCAGGACCAACCGTTTCAGAGATATGGGGCAAAAAGTGCCAAAAATGATATTGCAGTTTTTGAGATAACGGAGCGTCCGATTTGATAAATTCAAAAAACATTTTACTTATATGGTGAATTTAACAGGTGAAATTTTTGTAAGGGCAGCCAGCGTCTTCGGAGATCCAATACAAAAAGTGAAAAATAATGCTATTTGGCGGTCAAAAATGAACATTAGACATATGTACATCGTATTATCAAATGTTTTATAAAGATTATAATAATGAGTACAAATTTTGTGTACATTTATATGGGTTCCGTACCAATGTTTACACGTTAGACGACTACGCGGCGCTCACGCGCTTTGATATTTCGGTTCCAAATCAGCTACGCTGCGCAGTGGTTGATTAAAAAGTAATTTCTTTCCTGACTAGTCAAACATCAATGTTAGTAAAGGTATATTCAACCAGGCGTAGTTTTCTAGTCTTTTGAAAAAATATAGTGAAATCGATTCGATTATTAAATTTCCAGAAACCAAACATTAAATTACATTTTAATATATACAGCAATTGAAGATGATAAATAATGGCTTCAAATCTCTAAAAAAATAATAATTTTATTCTTCTCTCTGTGCAAAAATATAATGAATTTATTAATATTCATTTCATGTTTCTCTTTATTCCATGCAATCTGATGCTATACATTTAGTTAATTTAAAAAATAGGTATTTTTTACCTATAATTACCATACCATAATTACCTACTATGAAAATGATCATACGTCCTGGTTTGACCGGGATAGTCTCGGATTTCACCTTGTGTCCCGGGTTTCTACATACTTCCCGGATTTAGATCTTTTGTCCACGATTTAGATCTTTTGTCCCGGATTTAGATCTTTTGACCCGGATTGTCCGGCTTTTTGAGAAGTATAGGTTTAAATTGAATCTTTTGCAATTACAATTACCCATAAAATATCCGAAGACAACAAATATAAAGCAATAGGTTATTAATGAGAATATTGCCGAATGCAAAATACCAAAAGATGGTTAAAATAGTATTTCAATATTTATAATTTTGAACTTTTATTTTCAATTTACGAATGTTAGCAAAAACTATAAATACTGCCACTATTGCTAATTTTTACTAATTTTAAGTTAATTATTAAAAAAAAATGCATAGAATTTTACACAAGGCTTGAAAGCAAAGAAAAATTTTAGATAAAAAATATGATATATAACATATAATTGAATAATAAAGTTCTATCAAAAGTTAGTATTTCTGATTAAAAAATATAAATTTATTTAATAAAGAATGATTTTTATTATATCCTTATAGTATTTGTTTTTTTTTAAATCATATTTAAGTTATTTAGCCTCCTTCGTCGTTCCCATTTTGGCTTTAAAAAATATGGTTACATTACGAATATTTTAAAACTTGTCATTCGCGGCTATTTTTGAAATCCAAAAAATGTTTGACGTTGCCCGGCCTGCTACTATATGTGAGAATCATGTGAAATGACAAACGATGCTTAAATTTTATAACTGTGGCAGCCTTTGCTTGTCCTGTCAAATAGTAGATTTTGATTTGTTTTAACTGTGATAATCCATAGTGCAAATATTTTACATAATTTGTTTTTTTAATTTTTTATATCAAAATATTTTTATTAAAATGTCTCAAGAAGCAGGCGATAAAGTAGTGCCATCGTCGGAAGAAAATGATTTAAATGAACTGTTGGACAGTAAGTTATGCAATTCATGCTGAAATTTGTATATTTTGTTTAATTTATTTAAGTTATGTCATTTGATTTGACTTAAAAATATTTTTTGCAAATGCTCAGCGGCATTAGAAGATTTTGAGAAAGTTGCCAAACCCGCGGAACAGCCAGCTAAAGATGACAAAGAAAAACAAGAGCTACCTATTGCAGGAAATCCTGAAATCACTCCAGAAAATATGTGGTCACAGGAATTCATAAAGTAAATCGTTAATATTATTAAAAGTAAAAATTATCACTTTAATTTGTTTTTTATAAATTCATATTCGTATTATGCAATCAATTCCAATGTTGGTTTATTCATATTCTGTCATAAGTCAAGGATCATTTTATCATAAATCTTTTTTATTCACAAGTACATTAAGTAGTGCGGGTATTTTATATTTTTCAAATTAATTTAATATTGCCTGTCATGCAAGGTGCATTTAATCTAATTATTCGATATTACATATAAATTCTATGAAGTTTGGTATTTATGACATTCCCAATAATTTTTAAATATTTTGATAGGAAAGCGGCTGAACAATTTGAAAGTCACATGGCTGATATTTTTGGAGCTGCAGGCGTAAGCCCTATGTCTACTGAAGAATTTGATAACAGTATCAAACAAAAATTGGCAGGTAAATGAATTATAAATAATTTATTGTAAAAAAGGCAAGATATAAAAGTCTTATTTATTTATTGTAATGGTATTAAGTTATACACTATTTGCAGAGGCAGCGGCATTTACAATGCAGCCAGAAAATATTGCAAATATGCCACCAGTAGACAGTGAATTTGCACATACTATTGCTGAAACATTGAAGGTAATTTATATTGAAAATTTAATAACAAAGTATTTAAACAATATTACTTAAATTGTTATTTGAATATTGCTCAAACTCACAATTCAATTCAATCATTGTCTTTCTGATAATTATTTAAATATTTTTCCAGGGTCTTAATGCGGGTGCTGAAAATTTGCAAATGCCATTTTCGCCTGAAGACTTAGTTTCTATGTTTGGAACTTTGGGTACTGAGGATGGGGTATGTTGTTCTATCTGTCACAAAATGAATAAATAATAATATTTGCATATTGTTTTAGATTGCAGACAATGGCTTTATACCAGTAATGCAGACCATGATGCAGAGCTTACTCAGTCCGGAAGTTTTACTGCCTAGCATGGAAGATTTGAAGACGAAGTACCCTAAATGGATTGAAGAACATAAAGACAGCACATCAGCTGAAGATTTAGAGAGGTTATACTTATATTCTTGAAATAATATTGTAATGTAATAAGTGTTTTTAATTTAATGTTGCAGGTATCAAAAACAACTCGACCTAATTAATGAGGTATGTGAAGAGCTTGTAAAAGAGCAACCAGAAGATGCACCTGAAGTAAAGAAGGAAAGATTTCTTAAAGTTTTCGATCTCATGCAAAAGGTAAATTTCAGATCAGATTTCTAAATTGTATAAATTATAATACAGTTAATTACATATATCTATTTATTTCAGATGCAAGAATTAGGTCACCCTCCTGTTGAATTAGTAGGTGATTTCAATTTACCTCAAGAATTCGATCAAAGCCAAATGTCTCAGACGATGGACCCTTCTCAATGTAGTATTATGTAGAACTCGAAAAACATATATTTTTTTTTTATAGAATTTTAACTTTGTAAAGTAGACTTTTTTTTGTAAATATTTGCACAATCACAAACCAAACTATTTATTGTTAATTTCAAAATTGCTGGATATTGTATATATATAAATTTGAACTATACTTTATGAAGTTAAAATTTATCTAAATTTATGGTGATTTCCCAAAAAGCATTTGCTATTTGTTATGTATATATTTGTTAGCACATTTTTTTTGTAAAATTCAGTTAAACAATGCCAATGTATTTATTTTAAAAAGTTTGTATACAAAGATTTTTTATAACTATTGTGAAACTTGTATTTTATATAATTAATGTGTTTTATAATAACTTATTGACTTTATTAATATATACATTGACAAAAAATGCTGTTGGCTTAATGTACTTTGTTGTTTATACACTTATATAATTATATTTAATATATGTTATATTATTAATCATTATTTACATATATACTATAAGATCTTACTTTTAGAGCTCCTTTGAGCAAATGAAATGTCGTGCCCTATTTTTATACAGTCACTCAATTGTCTTATCTGGTGGGGCTATATATTATGTTAAATTCATATTTATATGAAGATTAACCGAACTCCAACATTAACATGTGATCATCATACAGGATTAAGATTTATGCGAGCCATTCATTTTGGAAGTTAAGTCCATTTCTATTGAATTGAGTTTGCATTTTTGAAGAGAGTTAAATTTATAATTCCTATCAAGTATATAATATGCTATTTAAATTTCTATTGTAATAATTTTTTATTCTTCTGTTTGTATAACTTAAATAATCGATCTTTGACTTCTGAAATTAGCACAATATAATAAATTTTTCAGCATTATTTATTTATAAATTTACATTAATAGGTATATGTGGTATATGTAGGATTTACATTAATATCTTTTACAGAAAATGAGGTATGAGAAAGATTCGGGTGTTCAAGAGATGATGAACAACATTATAAAAGACTATCATATGAATATATACTTATATGCAAAAAAAGTTGATGTAGATTATATCTGGTTGATCAGGTGGAAGGCCAACACCAACAACAATTTAATCTTTATTGATAAGTAAGTTAATTTATTTATTATCAACTATTACTGACATTACTAAAAGCTTCTTTATGAAAAAAGTAAAGTAAAGTAAAGTAAAGTAGTTATTATTCTCAACTCAGATTATTATGGAAATTTTCCATAATGATACAGTAGTGCTTTATGAACCACAATTAAATTTAAAATACAGTAACTTACAATATAATATTGAATAATAGGGGATGTTTTAATACAATGTATAGATTTATGTATTGCTGTCTCTGACATTACATATTAAATAGCAAAATTATCCGCCTTAAATTATTATTACATATAATTATGATGTTAATATCGACAATATATTAATAATTTAATAGTGATTATAAATATATCTAATTTTTTTTTTAATTTCTTTTAAATGTAATCTTTCAAATAAAACGAATTTGAAATTTTGCGACTTTGGCGCCACAATTTTGTATATGAAGTTATGTCAAATCTATCTAACCTTCAAAATGGCTGCGACGTTTCTTCAAGAGTTTTTATGATTGAAAAGTGCTAATGTTGTTTATATTATTATCAATTTACCTTTTTTATTTAAAATTTCATTCCTTGTGTTTATTTTAGAGTTATATATATATTTAGGCATATATAATATTTTCTAATATAATATATGAAGGTATTTATTTTGATCAAATATATAGAGATGCTGCTTTATTGTACTTCTATATAACGTAATAATTTTGTTAATTTTATTTTAGACAAGCTAAAAATGAAACCAAAAGAAGTCTTTCCGAATAAATATTAAGCAGAATGTTCCACCGGGACAGCGGTCCATGATCCTGTAAACAGGACAATAAAGCCTGAAGAAGTAGTCGTAGTAAGATCAAAGGGTATGCTTCATAAAATAATGTAATAAGACAGCATTTAATGTCATAATGTACAAATATTTATTTATTACTATACCATATCGAAAGCAAGATGTGTGATTTATCTCACAATAGTCATATATTTTGTTTACATAAATTTTCACAAATTATTTGAGAAAATTTGTGATAAGCTCCTTCAAATATTTTGGCTGTAAAAATTGAATTAAATGTAAGAGGTTATATTTTCAATTGTAAATATTGCAACAGATACTTTATTCTTGCTTACGATATCATGTATATAAATCTCCTTTTCTTTATTAATGTGTGTTATTGGAATATGTAGAAATATATCAATCAAAATCCACATAACATATTTTCAACAAATATTCTATCAACCTAAAAAATATAAATATAATAAAAATGTGAAAGAATCTGCAATCAACAATCAACAACAAATGACAATGAGAACAACTAAAATGGAGGGAACAAGTTTTTAAGGTGAGCGTTTATCATTATTATTATTATTATTATATATATATATATATATATATATATATATATATATATGTAATCTACTTATTTATGATTTATTTGATTTATTTTTAATATTACTATATATATTGTATTAGAAATAATATTTTTTTTCATCTGTAGTCGAAGGAATTCAAGAAGACATTGTAAAATTCTTCAATCAACACTCAACTCTCAACAGCACGTTTCTACAATCAACATCAATATCTACAATCAACAAGTATTCTTCATAGTGTGAAGGTACAGATGTAAATAATTATTTGTTTTATAATTAGTATAGTGAAAATTGGTGTTAGTTTATGCTAAATTATTATGTTTAGTTTAATGCATATCGGTTACTAAAGCTTTTTATATACTGTGTTATTGTTCGAAGAAAATTGTGTTTTAAATATACATATCGTTTCAACCGATTCAACTTTATTAAAGAACATCTTGAAGTGATTTCAATATATAAGAAGACAAAAGGACCGACAAGCAACAAAGTTACCTTTAATATATGTTCTAAAATACATATCTACATGTTTATTGATATTTAATTAGAAATCTTAATTTTTAGTTATTAAAAGTAATATTCATATTTTATTATAATAAAATTAACAATTCGAAAACAGGTGAGGGATCAAAACCGTTATTTTCACGTGACAACATTGTTGTAAATCAAGATTTTAACAGCAGTGATTCTGATGATGCTAAGTATAAAGTTAGTTTTGTTTTATATTTAAATTATATACAAATATTGAATAAATGTTTAACCACTGAGCAATTTAGCGAAGCAATATGAAAATGAAAGACAGAATTCAAAGAATTACAGAAGAAGGAACTCGTCATCTAGGTCGCCCTCAGTAGATGTTGATTATAAACATAAATCAAAAACTTTAGTGAGACATAAAAGGTTAATACAAGTTTTTAAAAAATTATTTAAGTAAGTTTATTAGTAACTAAAAAGGATCTTCTTTCAGACGTTCCAGATCTCTCTCTCCTGAAAATAGTGCAATTAAGAAACATTATCTTAAAGAAAAAAGTCCTTATTATGTTGATGAACAACGGGAAAAGGATAGAATTGCTAGGAAATATGATAGGTAAGTTATTGTTCACTAAAAATATATAATAAATAATTCTTAAGTGTGTATGTTTGAGTATATTAAAAGACTTAAAATTTATAAGTTGTAATAAACTTGCGTCTATTGTTAGTGTGTGTGTGTGGGTTTTTTTTATGTTAACTTTGATTGATAAATTTATAGAGAAAATGGTTTATGAATCGTGTGATGTCTTTTGTATGTATTTTTATTTATTTTTTATTAACTTCCCGAAGGAGAAGTTTATGTTTTCATCAAAAAATCCGATTCGCTAATTTTATGTTTTCTCGACGTTTCAAGCCATTCTGATTGAATGAGACCAAATTTGGAAAAAGTATGTGTGTGTGTGTGTGTGAACAGATTTTTTGCCGTAAATCGACGTTTTCTCCAAAAACGGCTGGACCGATTTCTAAAATTTAAAAGCCATTTGATGTATCTTGATGAGGACTATCGTTTCTGAGTTTTGTGCGGCGATCGGCCGGGCCGTTTCTTTGTAATTGCAGAAAAGTGAAAAAATTTTCGTCCACGTTTTAGCCCGCAATTCTGAATCGATTCTGAAAATTCAAAAACCATTCGATTGATATTTGTTGGGAATCGTGCTGATTAGTCTTTGGTAAAGATCGGCCGGGCCGTTTTCTTGTAATAAAGTTTAAAAAAATAAAATTCGACGATTTTTATGATTTTTTTTTTGACGGTAGATACCATAGTTTTCTAGGTCATACTAAAAATATTACGGCCCTACGACAACTCGTTTAGCTTTACAAATTCGTCAAAGTTTGCAAAAATTGGTATCGTTTTATTGACATTTGTCAAAATGAAGTCTTTGATCGAAGTTTTCTCAAAAACGCCTTAACCGATTTCAGAAATTTAAAAGCCATTTGATGTATTTCGGTGAGGACTATCGTTTGTCAGTTTTGTGCGACGATCTGCCAAGCCGTTTCTTTATAATTTGAAAAAAAGTGTTAAACTTTTCGTCCACATTTAAGCTCATCCTACCGAATCGATTTTAAAAAATCAAAAACTATTCGAAAGATATTAGTTCGTTAGTGTAAACTGATTACTTTTAGGTAAAAAAAAGTAATTAGATGTCTTTTTTATGTATTTTTATTTATTTTATTTATTTAAATACCAACCGTACTAAATTTATGTTCATCATATAACCATTTTTAGAAGAAAAACAAGATCTAGGTCCAGGTCTCCTTCTCGAGGCAATTATCGCCGTAGTCGAGGTTCTGAAAGAAGGAGTAGGTCACTCGATAATAGAAGAGCATCTCATAAAAGGACTAGATCACACAACTAGAAAAAGAACTCCTGAGGAAGAGGATTCTTATTATGTAGATCCTCAAGAGAGAAAGATAGGTTACGGGAAGAAAGAAAACGTTATGAGAAGTAATTATTCTTAAACAGTATTAATAACACAATATAATAATCTTAGTGCTTATAATTATATATTTTTTTTCATAATTTTTTTTTCAGAATTCTAAAGGAGATTCGATCAAAATCTCATTATAGGTATCCCTCTAGGTAAATAATTTCAACCTTTATTCAATTTATTTGTTGTTTTATAGAAATTAATAAATAATTTCTTTTATTCATTTAATTATCAGATCTCCGTCAAGAAAGTATGTAGAAAGTGAAAGTAGGTATCGATATAGGAGGTCCAGGACGAGATCAATTTCAAGATCAAGAGGAAGTCGATCTTATGATAGGGATTGGAGCGTGATGAGATATGAAAGGATAAGAGAACGACCAGCTTATGTAGAACCTTCATATCCTGCTCCTCATGGTTACCATGGTTACAGAGAGGTAAAATTCGATTTAAAACGTTTTTCAAGGAAACGCTTAATTTATATTTATGCACACGAGATATTGGCTGACATCTGTTTTCTTATGTAATGTATTAAATGCAACTACAATGGTACCCCGACATGCGATCGTTTCGAGATACGAGCCGCCAAGGGAGCAATTCGTTGCTTTGAAATGCAAGCAAAATTTGAGATACGAACTTAGAGAGTAAAGACCAAATATCTATTGCCAGAAAAGGTTCATAAAAATCGTCAAGAAATATGTTCAACAGGTAATTGCAAGAAAACGGCTCGGTAAATTTTTACCTTAAACT